AATGTATGCTGTAACTAACGTATTTATTGTGAGATAGTAGACTACAAACCTTTACGTTTTTTTACCCTTAACTAGTAATATATTTATATATATATATATATATTGTGAGAATAAACAATAATAAAAATAATTCTGTAAACTCGCATACATAGCTTCATAAACGTATACGAACCAACCGACTAAACTTCGTTTGATTGCTGCTATATACATACGCGCAATTTAGCAGTATTACAGTGTTCGCTCTACATGCTGTAACCGTCGTGTGTACACGTATCATCATTTGACATGGGTTGAGTGAACGAATCGAACCCATGCGATGACAGGGTTGGTGCATCTCGTACGAGTGACCGATAAATTCAGATATAATGGCATATGTGAACACCACACCTTCTCTCCATCTCGTACGTGTGACTAGTACGTTTAAATACAATGGTATATATGCCCGCAAGCGTAGACGAGGTTGCATCTAGCAAGCCTAACAACACTAACTTGGATACAAATAGGTCAATAAATGCGTCTTTCGTTAGATTGAGTGACTCGCTCCCTCAAGATACTGCATGCGCATGTGCAGGTATATCGCACGATTCATACTGAGAATATCTTTTGCACGTATTGGTAGTTTCCAACAAAACGTTTGGTGATGGAGACCAAGTACATCTGCGTGACGCGTGCGTGTATCCGTACATACCTCTCCTACCCGTCCCAACCCTTGATTGGATTTGTTGCTGAGATCAACACACACGACCAGCAACCACTAACAACGTATGGGAATATTCATATACACAACTTTCGGACAGATACAGGGACGTATGATAGTATTGTGTGGATATATGGTAAAGTTGAATGTTCTGTAGATAAATGGTATTGTTTTGTGGACAAATGGTCTGTTCTGTGTATATATGGTAATGTATGTAGATCTATGGTAATTCTACGTAGGTGTATGGTACTGTTTTGTGGATATATGGCAATGTGTGTAGATAAATGGTAATTCTATGTAGATGTATGGCAGTGTTATGTGAATATGTGGCAATGTATGTGGATATATAGTAATTTAATTTAGGTGGATGGTGATATGTAAATATATGGCAATGTATGTATATGTATGGTGTGGTTAAACGGTAAGTTAAAAATGATCTGTGGATGTATGGTATCATTATGTGGAGGTATGGTATCTTTATGCGGAAGAATGGTATCTTTATGTAGATATATGGTATCATTATGTGAATGTACGGTATCTTTATGTGAATGTACGATATCTTTGTGTGGATGTATGGTGATATATGGTACTGTTATATGAAAATATGACAATGTTCAATGCTAAGTGGATATATGGTATTGTTATAAGGACAAATGATACTGTTGTACGGATATATGGCAGCGCTATGTGGATATATGGTATTGCTATAAGGTCAAATGATACTGATTTTCGTATTTATGGTAGTGCTATGTGGATATATGGGTATACAATTGTTTGGTGAGTAGATTAATATTATGTAAACATGCGTGGATATATGGTAATATTATGTAGTTGTTTAGTATCTTTATGTGAATATTTGATATGTGAAAGTATGACAATGTTATGCATTTGTCTGCTCCGCTTTCTTGCAGGGTGGGCACACAGCAAAGGTATCTACACCAGGGTATGTATCTAACAAACGTGCGTGTATTCATGAATCATCCCCACTCCAGATGAATCAACACGTTGGCACGTGAGATGTCCAAATACGTCCAACAGATGTCACGTATGTACACCACATACACCCATTGCACAAGTAGATAGACCTGTTAAGGTTTCGCTCATGTCAAACAACCTGTCGCGACATTAACACACGATGTGACTGTGCAGATATACACAACCGATGCAGCAGACTGACATCAAACCCAGCTCAAGAAGCCATATAAGGTATCATACATATATGTGTATACGTATATAATATACATAGGCGTACCAAAAAAAACCGATATGCCTATTAAAACGTATCCAATATTTGCGTATTCGGCGCCACTCGCGCAACGATTTAAACCACACACTTCAAGTCATGTCAACACAATCGCGCACATCCATGAATCGTCACATCTGGTCAGTCTGAGCTACATAATTCATTGTACAATAGTACCGATCCGCAAGAGATGCTGAGTGCTGAGTTACCTTTCATGAGATACTCGTAGTATGAGTCGATGCTGGCCCCCACTCCGGCATGTGCACCGGACGACTGCCCTGTCACTGTACTGTAGGTCCTGGACACGAGGTTGCTGAGATACCTGCAAAGACACATGCACATGTCAGACATCTGTCTCTGGGTGGTGTTACAAGCACAACAGAGTACAACCAAGCACAATTCTCCTATGAACGAGCATGTTAACGCATACAATCTCACGTTTTGGCATTTGTGTATGAGCTTCGTTAAGAGTTGAATCCGTGTGCAGTGCGACCATACCTCCCCTCGTACAGGGCCACCATCGCTATGCGGGCCTTGGACTCGTAGATTGGATTGCCTGAGAATCGGGACAATGTGACAAACTCCAACAGCACCGTTCCTGATTATGTAGAAATAGGATGAGAATGAGAATAAGGATCAGCATTATATTTATTACATAAATCGGAACAGGGTACCACTATACACAGCCTTACTTGTTGGTCCTTCGAATTGCATGCGATTGTGAGAAAGATGGAGAACGCAGTTGACATATACTCAGTACTTGAGAAATTCGCAGTTCAACTACTTAATACATTGGTTCTCGTAGTCGGTTTCGATTGAGCTGTCACATCGTGGGGGTGCGGAATGACGATTGAAAGCATGGTCAGAACCCAGAAAGTTAGGACAGGCCATGTCCTGAAGTTCATGGGACAGGCCATGTCCTAAAGTGCATGGGACAGGCCATGTCCTCAAGTGCTTGGGACAGGCCATGTCCTAAAGTGCATGGGACAGGCCATGTCCTGAACCGCATGGGACAGGCCATGTCCTCAAGTGCATGGGACAGGTCATGTCCTGAAGTGCATGGGACAGGCCATGTCCTAAAGTGCATGGGACAGGCCATGTCCTGAAGTGCATGGGACAGGTCATGTCCTCAAGTGCATGGGACAGGCCATGTCCTAAAGTGCATGGGACAGGCCATGTCCTCAAGTGCATGGGACAGGTCATGTCCTGAAGTGCATGGGACAGGCCATGTTCTGAAGTGCATGGGACAGGCCATGACCTGAAGTGGATCGCCTAAAGAGTGATCGAATCACTTTTAGCTAATTATGCAGGTCGTAGACCCACCCACGCCGTGCTGGTGTGTATTATATCGTATCGACTATAGGGAACACTCCTACCTACAAGATGTGACGGCTGCTGTCTGCACAAAGATACTCACGTTGTATATATAGCCTCCTCCCGAAGATCAGACGCTGGTAGACAGTAGTACATAACACTACCAGCCTACACATGCACGGATAGTAAGTACAATATACTGAATCACCCATAGACATCACTCCCACCTCAACCACACGCAACCAACCGCCTATTCTAAACAGAGCGCCACTATACCTACAAGCCGCGGCCAACCCGTTCTATAAATAACCCGTTCTATCAATAATCCGCTCTATAAATAACCCGTTCTATAAATAACCCATTCTATAAACAATACGCTCTGTAAATAACCCATTCTATAAATAACCCGTTCTAAAACAAGCACATTCTATAAATACCCCGTACTAAAAACAAATCGTTCTATAAAAACACATTCTATATATAACCCAATCTACAAATAACCCGTTCTACAAATAACCCGTTTTATAAAAAACTCGTTCTTAAAATATTGCGTTCTATAAATAACCCATTATAAAAATATCCCGTTCTATAATGGCCCATTCTATAAACAATCCGCTCTATAAATAATAACCTGTTCTATAAATAAACCATTCTATAAACAATCCGCTCTGTAAATAACCCATTCTATAAATAACCCGTTCTATAAATAGCCCGTTCTATAAATAACCCGTTCTAAAACAAACCCATTCTATGAATACCCCGTACTAAAAACAACCCGTTCTATAAAAACACATTCTATATATAACCCACTCTACACATAACCCGTTCTACAAATAACCCGTTTTATAAATAACTCGTTCTTAAAACATTCCGTTCTATAAACAACCCGTTCTATAAATAACCCGTTCTAAAAACAACCCGTTCTATAAAGTACCCGTTCTGTAAAGAAACCGCTCTATAAAGTACCCGTTCTATAAATAACCCGTTCTATAAAGTACCCGTTCTATAAAGTACCCGTTCTATAAATAACCCGTTCTATAAATAGCCCCTCCCTCCGAACGTGCCTACCTGCACAGGCCGTACACGTGTTGAGGTCGTCTCCCTCGGGCACTCCGTGCACCAGATCCACCCGCACCAACGGCAGCCCGGACTGCGTATCAAACGCTTTCAATAGCCTATCACCCAGGTCTACAGCCAGATCCAACAGACCTCCAGTGTAAACGAAGGCGTCTCCGTGTACGTCCTTGGCGTGCTTATCCTCGAGTAGGTGTAAGGCGAGCGCATGAGCACTCAGGAGACCACCGAGCACACGGATAGTCACCTCGAAGACACTCACCACGACGGATGTGTTGAAGTGCACGGTGGTCACAACCGTGTTCACGGCCTGCTATAAGGAAACACGGGGAGGTGGACAGGACGGTGGGTATAACAAGGGTAGGTAAAATGGGCATACGAACGTAGTCAGAGAGTGTAGGTAGGTAAAATGGGCATACGAACGTAGACAGAGAGTGTAGGTAGGTAAAATGGGCATACGACCGTAGTCAGCGAGGTGTGGGTAATTATTTCGTATCAACTGCGTGCACCACTTTTACAAGCTGTGACGGGTGCTCTATGCGCAGAGATACACACTGGCATAGCCACCTATCGCCGATGGATACTCCCCAGTACACAGGCACTAAAACTCTACCTATTCATTCTCTAAGAGGTGAACGAGTATGGTGCATACAGCTATAGTAGAGTATGGTACACTTGGCGGTGCAGATAACCATAGAACTGGTAGCAAAGTTCGGCATGTGATCAGCACCCACCCCTACTAGATTACTGACCACAACTGGCCGTGTCGGCATGAACGATAATGTACGTACGTAAGCAATATGGTGTATATAAGATAAGTATACATTGACTAAAGAAGGTGGATTGTATTAATGTAACCCACAGCAACTGCTGCACGTACAGTCACCTATGAAAGTGTTCTTCCGAGAAGCCTGCTGTGTGATGAATATGGCCGCTGAAACGTGTCTAGGTACAACGCAGGGAGGCTTAGTAAACTAGAATGGTATAGAGGTCTTCTGTACAGCAAGTATAGCGTATCAGTTTGTTTGTGTTTTTGTATAGCTAGGCTTTTGTAAAGTTTACTTAGAATAGTACGTGAATATATACGTACATGCACACACTTATCCATGTGCATGTAATTCTTTCATAAATATTGTTGCTTCCATGTGTGCACACAGATACACAGGGCAATTGCAGTCTCTACGCATCTAAGGATGATTTCTCAGAGAGACGTTAGAGGTGGCTTTGTTTGCTCGGTTATCCCATATATGCGAAACATATCGTCCGCCTTTCATACACGAATACATAAACTTCCAGATCACTGATAGAAGTTCGATACACACAAGGATCTAAGTATAGTATATTGATATATGCAGACCGGACAACACGACTGTATTAGTTAACTACCAAGGATCGTCACAGTCTTGTATACAATTTCGCCCTCAGCTACACATGCACATATACATACACATACACATACACATACACATACATATACATATACACATATGCTTACACACACGCGCACATACACACAAATAAATACGTACGCATACACATATGCATACACATTCACAATAACATACATATACAAATGCACATGCACATGCACAGACATACGCACACACACAAATAGTCACATACACATACACATACCCATACACGTACATATGCTCACATATACATATGTATATATACAAATATGCATACGTGCACACACACACACACAAATATACACATACACTTACACAAACACAAACACATATACATATACACATACACATATACACATACACATACTCACACTCATACACATACCCGTACACATACACAAAAACATACACATACACATACACATACACAAACACATACACATATACACATACCAATATACACATACACTTACACATACTCATACACATGCACATACACACACATACTCATACACATGCACATACACAAACATACACATACACACCCGCACGCAAACAAACACATACATACCGTGAAGAACAGCTCAGTATCTCCCATAACCGCAATTGTATCCAGCGAATCAATCAGAGTCAGTGAGAAGTTTCCCATACACCTGTCAATGTCCCCTCTAAACTCATCATCTCGTCGCCACCGAGCGTTGCATGTGACTGGCTTGAGTTCGTCTGCCGGGTAGGCGTGTTGTATGTATCCGTTAAAGGCATGTGCAAACATGCCCTTGACCTCCTCAGATAGGGCTATGCGCTCCTTTCGTGTGTACCGGTGCACCGATGGTCCGTTTTTCTGATTTTGGGGTGCGTCGGCGTGGGCCTGTGCATGCGCGTGTGCGTGGTCGGATGTGTCCGGGTGTGTGCGTTGCTGTGTATCTGTGTGTACACGTTCACTGCTCTCTATATCCAACTCATCAGTATCCGGTCCATTATCCCGAGTATCCCTGTGTGTACCCCCTTGCACCTCCTCTTCAGCCTTTTGGACTTTATTAGGTCCATGTGTGTGTGAGTCAGCAATCCCATCGACATGCGTACGTGGTTCTTCTTGGGCAATCTCTGATGGCTGACCTTTGTCCAGGCGAGTGTGTGCATTTGTTCTTTTGTCTGATTGCGTCCTCACATCGACTGTATCGATGTCTGCGTGAGTTGATTTGAGTGCATCCCCACTACTTGGTTGAGTGTTCACATCGACTGCATCGATGTCTGAGTGAGTTGATTTATGTGTACCCTCATTACTAGAATGTGTGTTTACATCTACAACATCATTTACTGGACTAGTCGTTGGGTGTTTATCTGTTACTTCTGCGCGCACCCATTGTGGCGATGCAAGGAGACATAGCACTACGGCCACAAGCATCCGGAAGCTGTACCATCGCATGTTGAACGAATGCGTAATTAAGACCTAACCATGTACGTGTATATAATCATAACCTCGGGTCAATTAAACGAGGCTGGATGTGATTCATGGTTTTCACGAGGTGAATGCAGGATCCATATAACACCAGAACTATAAGAGCAGCTGCTTGTAGTTCGGGTGAGTGTGTGTAGTACGAGTGTTTATGTATGCATGTAAATAGTATGCGTGTTGTATGTACGTATATAGTATGCGTGTTTTATGTACGTATACAGTATGCGCGTTGTATGTACGTATGTAGCATGAGTGTTGTATGTACGTTAGTATGAGTCTATGTATGAGTGTAATGTGCGTGTGTAGATAGTATAGTATGCGTGCTATCTTTACAGTATCCAGTAGTCTCCCCACTTTCTTACGAAAACAATGCGCCGTGGCGTTTTTGTTCATCTCGTGATTGTGGAGAAGCCCGCCAAAATTCGTGAATATTGCCTTATTTATCTCTATTTATATGCGACCTCCTGAGACTCATGAGCTCAGCCTGTGACCGTGACTGTGAACTTTGAAGTGTGTCTCGGGGCGACAGCGAGAGATGCTGATCATCGGATCACGTTATTTTTTTAATAAATACCGAACTGCCGAGTACATACATAAATACCGTGCGAGAAACCGACAAATGGCAATGTGACAGGATGGATAGTTTTGTATTTAAATATTTAGGGGTTTGTCCTAGATTGGCTCTAGTAGTGCGTCGGTGTAGTAAACTCAGTTTGAGACACGTCGCGTACTATCAGGCCCTCCGCTCTAGTTGGTTTAGCATGCTCTAGTAGCTGACTAGCACCAGTGTACAAAAGAGACACTGTCAATCCACAGGCCAGATTATGGTGCCTACTCCAGGACAAGATGTTCTGGAATGTAGACAGGCTTACTATTAAGTTTGGTTATTCAGTATCTCGGAGATTAGTACAGATTCATTGGAAATACTTTTAAAACATAAATAAATGCTAGATAATAGCACATATATTGTTGATGTGAGCGTGCAAAAACACGAAGTGAAATACAAATCCAGAGTAAGGTCGGCGGGAGCCATATTTTCACAGCGTGCGTACCTTTTCAGTTTTGAGTAGTAGGTTACATCGAAATATACCCAGAGATTGCAAACTGTAGAGATATATATAGTTCTATACATGCTTCAGCAAATTGCGTGCAAGAACATTTAATGACAGATCTGGACGTATACACACATATATATATATATATATATATATGTGTGTGTGTGTGTGTGTGTGTGTGTGTGTTAGTATATAGTATATGTATATATA